AGGCGCGGCCGGCCGGGTGCGCGCTCTGCGGAGCCGCGGGCTGCGGGGCTGCGCGCCCACTCCAGCTCAGCCCGGCTTTGTTGCCTCCTGAGCCCTTGGGTGGGCAGCTCTGGTCTCTGCTCTGCCTTTTCCCCCGGGCTCCCGGCCCTTCCCTGTCCCTGGCGGAGGTGGCGGGTCCCTGCGCAGCCCCGTCCCGGCTCTATTCTCCCGGGTGGTGCTGAAGCGTTTCTGCCCGGAGACACCGGCTGGTGGGCGTGGTGCAGTCCGCACTGCGGTCTGTACGGCAGCCCGAGGCGGACAAAGGGCGTTCATGCAGCCCTCCTTCCTCGCTCCCCTTCACCCCAATAAAGGAGGAAGAAAACCCTTGTTTTAGATGGACCAAATAAATAAATAAATAAAGGCTTGTCATTCGCCTCTGCATTTAGAAATGGCCACTTGTCCCCAGAACAAAAGGCTGCAGGGTGGGGACTGGAGTTGCAGACCTGGTTCTTTTGTTTAACTTTAAAGCACTGATTTCCCCTTTCTGCTAAAAAGCAAAACAAAACCAAATGAAAATGTGAGCAGAAAGCAGTGATGACACTGCATTCGGAAAAAAAATTCAAGATGAGAGATTTCAAGAGTGAAATGCCTTATTTGAACATCTGTATAACTCTTTATTTGCAAGTCATAGGCCTTTGGGGTCTGATCTGTTCAAATTTATTGTAGTTGCATATTTTTCACCTTGAAAAAAAATCATGTGTACTGACTTTGGGTGTGGCTATTGTGGGAATCAATGACTTGGGATTTTTTTTATCGTTAGTCCAAGGCACTGCTGGGAAGTATTAATAGGTTAGGAAATGCTTTTTGTCTACAAAATTTTCCTAACTACCCAGTGTGGGAGAGGGATCATCGCCCCTAGTTTAGAGATGGGGTCCAGAGAGGTTGGGAGGGTAGGGGACCTGCTGAAGGTCACAGCACTTAGCGGTGACGGAGTGTCAGGACTGCAGCGTCACTCCTTTTCTGACCGTGTCATGGTCTCAGCGCAGGGCAGGAGGACATCAGAGGGAGAGCTGGTCGCGGCGATTTTCAGAGCTTGCCTTTGTAGTCATTCACTGGTGGGCAGCGCCCTATGCAGGGAGGTAGTTCTGCAGTCACCTTCCTACTCTAATTGTCTTCCTGCTTTGTTACTCAGCTGATCACGCTTTCAGCGCCCCATTCCTCAGGGGTTTATTCAACACCTTTTGAGGGAGGAGAAAATAGGCGCAGACAAATACTGTTCCTATCTTCACTCCTTTTTAACCACTGGTGCTTAGTGTAAAATCCAGATTTGTCCTCCTGACATTTAAAAGTTTTTAGAAATCCTAAGTGTTAGATAGAGACAAAGCACCAATCACAGATCAGCAGCTCAATTAATCCTCACAAAATTAATCGACCTGTGTTATCCAGATAAGAAACAGACCTTACTGGGATCCCAGAAGTGCCCCCGCCCCTTGTGTTCTCCTTGCAATCATCCTGCTGCTTCCTAATTTTTAATTCTCTAATTTGGCCAGTTTTTTTTTTTGCATGAACTCTGAAATGGTTGTATCGATCCCATTAAGAATCAGCCAAGTGAGTGCACAGGGCCATTTCCTGTGCGCAGTAACAGATGCTGCTGCTCTGAAGATTGCCCTCCTGGGTCCGGGGGCTTGGGTGCAGCTCAGGCTGCAGGCCTTTCCAGTGCTAAGTGAGAATACTGCTCCCCCTGGCTTTTCAGATAGTCTGAGATGACTTAGCAACAGGGCAGCAGGCTGTTTCCCTGTGCATGATGTGCTGCTGCTGCTGCTGCTGCTGCTTGAGCCAGCAGGTCCCAGCTGGGCCTCCTCCAGAGGTCACTCTGATGCCACTGCTGTTGTCCCTGGTGCCGCAGGCTCTGTTGTGTGAAGCAAGATGGAGCTGCTCCAGGGGACTCAACTCTGATTGTGGGAGCGCAAGCTGGGAAAACAGTTCCTCATCTGTGTTCTTTCTTCCTATTTCCCTTCCCATCCTAACAGAGGCTCTGTGGGGTTGGAGACTGTGGTGAATTGGATTCTTGCCATTTGATTGCTGAGGGTTCCCTGGGAAGCCTCAAAAATCATCTGTAAGTCTGTAGAGAGACAGTGGTAATGTAGTGAGCCCAAGGCCTGATGTTTAGTAAATGCTTCTTGATATCAAAGAAGAAAGGTGTACATTCTTGTTTTCTCAGCTATATTCACAGAGGCATAATATTGTGTGAAGTCATTTCTTTTCTAGAGTTTAAAGCAATAATACTTCTTCCGACTGAACAAACCTTACTGAGTTATACAAGACTTTATCCCAAGCCACTGTGGCTATCACCATCTACCATTCCTTGGCAATTCCTTTGGACCCTCCCTAATTAGCCCCTAATGTGGATTTAGCCAGTCACTACCATTTTCAGCGAAGTATCTGCTCATCGGGTTTATTTTAATACCCACACTGCATGCTTCTATTCCACTGCAGGCTGAATTCTAGAGCCTTGTGAAATGAAGGTTCATTGTTTGATGTTATTCTTTTAAAGGAACTGAAACATATAAGGAATACTAAGTGTCAGTTTAATGTTTTTAGTTACTCTTAAGAGTGTAGCTTTTCTTCTGTTTAACATTGGGAATCAAGATTTGCTCCTGAGACTATAGCTGTGTCTAACTTCTATGGCCCTGGATTTTTAGTTGTGAGTTGAGCTGAGTGCATTGTAACATTCTGATGTCATTTTATTGAATGTGTTCAGACTAAAATGGTAAGAAAATTAAGGACCCAGGAAAACTTGGGTGTTTAATTTTCATTTTCTTTTAACAGGAAAAAGACAAAAACCAAAAATCATGTGTAGCAGGAGTTAAATGGCATGTTGGACAGTATCAAACTTTTTATATTCATCTTTATACTTTTCAAAGTAGAAAGCACATGGATTTCCACTTGCTCTACGTACTTGGTATCACATATTAAGGTGGACCGTTTGGAAACACAAGCCTGTCTCCAAATTTAAGGCCATTAAACTGATGATTCATTGTTAATCTTCTGTGAGGGCTTACTTTTAAAAATAACATTTAGACCAATAGATAAATTATTATAAAGCACTTCTTTTGCTTGCCACGGTTGCAAAGTGTTATCTAAGCCCAGAATTATTTATTATCAATGCTTTGAAGCTATGAGCTGTATATGTAAGATATTGTCTGTGTTACATATGAAGTATGTTATGAACAAAAATTCATTCTCTTTAAAAAAAGAAAAAAAGCAAATCTTAGGCTAGGTTCAGGGCAAAAATGGGGAAGGTTTTCTCTGAAAAGTAAAGCCTTCCTTAGCATTTCCTTTTTAATTGTTGCTGTAGTTTATGGTTTCAGGTTACATTTCAGCATAGTTTTATAGATGGAATCTTTTGTAGGTTAACCATTCAGGTATTTGCAGCAAATCCTCAAAATACCTATTTCTCAGGAGAAACAACTAAAGCACATAGAGAAAAAGCAACTCATCAGAAGCCCAGTAGAACCATTACCATGACATTCTAATGTGTGATGCAGTTATTTCTTGGGCTTTCTTAATCCACTGTCTCTTTAAGAAATACAGGGTTTGGCTTTTTTTGGTTTTTCTGTTTTTGCCTTTTAAAGGGTAGCTTTTGTTTTTAGTTGTTGGTTTCGTTAGACCACCTTGCAAAGTGCTTGCACCCTGGGGGAACTTGGTGCGTCCAGCCTGTGGATGGCAGAGAGACCTGACTTGTTTTCCCTTTTCATGCCAACTCAGTCGTGGTCGCCCCTCCCCACCCACCTTTTCTTTTCTCTTTTTCCATCTGCAAATGCCCTGTGCATGTTTGCCTGCTCTTTGTGTACTTCATGTGAGGCCAGAGAACTGAGAAGAAAAGATGCATTGGTGTCTACCTGTCAGCAAGGATGGACCCGAGGACAGTGTTCCTTTCTGGGACCACAATCAGAGAGTAGCCCGGGGTGCTCTTCAAGGTGACAGATGCCCTTTGGGCCTAGACATATAAAAAGGGGTGTTCACTGCCTCCACCTGCTGGAGTTGTGAGCAGCTGTTACCCACCGGGGCAACCGTAGGGATGCTGTTGTCTGAGTTTGCTGGTGAAGCAGAGCTGCAAGGAAGAGCTTGAGTTGGGGTGGATTGGAAGGACAATCAGAAAAAGGACCGGGAGCTTATCATGGGTTCTCTGTTTCTCACCACAGACCAAGATGACTGGCTTCTGCAAGCTGCTTCCCACCCGCCTGATCTCCCTGACAGTCAGGGACACAGAGAGGGGAGAGTATGGGGAGGGCCAGCAGTTTTCTATGCTCTGAACTTCAGCATGCCCTCTGTTGGCTCCTTGTCAGGCATGGAGGGGACATACAGAAACCTATTAAATGCACATGAACCTTCATTGAGAAATACTCTTTCCCTGCACTAATATTATCCAGCAGAAGGCACAAAGTAATTACTAAATATTTTGTTTCTAAAATTAGTATAAAAAGTGACCTGCTTTCAAAATTTTCCTTTCCACCTGCAATAACTAGTAAGCCCAGTGTGATCTTTATTTTATAAGTAGTAGTAGTAATGTGCGTTGTTAAAAAATAATTTGGCTGGAAATCAGTCTTTTAGAAAAAGAACCCTAAACTTTTAGGGTTCATTGAGAGTATAAAAACGAGAAATATTTTTATCAGCTGTTTACTAGTATAATATAAAATTACTAAGTGAATTTCATAATACTCATTTTTTCCATTGCTAACTTACAAATATTATAATTTACTTAACGCTGAATTTGTAATAGTATACAATGTATTACATATGCGTATATAGGCAAACATTTGATTGCTTGTGCCATAACCAGTTAGTTGAAGCCAAGAGGGGGGAAATGACAAACAGCAATGTCCGAGCAAGTGTATGTATAACCCCAGATGAAGTCATTCAAATAATGTAGCAATTTAGACCTTACTTAGAACAAAGACAGAAAAATTGTCTGAATTCAATTTAAACACGTATGTCTCCTTGTTAACTGACTGACCCAGCTTGAAAAGGCAGAAGACAAAATGGAGCTCCAACCTACAGCACAGAGATTTCAGCCAACAACGCCAATTAAGCAGCTCAGACAGGAACTCAATGATTTTTCACACTGGGCTAGTATATAATGTATATATTGAAGTAAAATATTCTAATGAATTCAGACCTCTCAACGTGTCAAGCTCTCCAGGAAACAAAAAGAAGCCATTTATCATTTCTGCACTAAAAAGATCCGAAAAATCTCAACATGCCTTTCTTGTTAAAATTTAAATAGTCCATTAGCACAAATGCAAACTGAGACCATTAATGTTTCCAGGGAGATCCATAAAACTCTCCCTTATAATTTAGCCTCTCTTTGGGAGGTTAACTCTTCCATACCTGAATTATTTCCATTGATCATATAGACATTTTTGCTTTTAGTTAGTGAACATCTATTTAGAAATACGCCTCATAGTTAATGATATGGGAAGATAGTTTAGATGTGCAGTGAATGGAGATTCCAGAATCTTGGAAATGGTATGTGGCACTTGTATATGATGCCCCAATTCTTTGCAAGTTAAGCAAATTAATTATAAGTGTAGGTAACCAGATACATATTAAGGATTTAGGGATGTGCTTAATACACTGCAATTTGAATCCTCAGGTCAGCATGTACCACTAATGACCAACAAAAATGATTGAATGACTGGCTGTTTATTTAGATATAATGCAGTTGCAGTGTCATAGCCAGAGGTTTGAGCCCCTTCCCATAGGAGGTAGGTAATACGTGTTTGTTGTTCCAGAGGTTTATTCCTGGCAGTTGAGCATGCTCCATCCAAGGATGCGATCATGCACAGGATGCATTCACTCCAACATGCGCCAACTATTTAGAAAAAATATAAACACACACATGGTCCAGAATCCTAAGGTTCCTCAGATTTCTCTGGCTTGTCCAGTGGCCTCTGGGTTTCTCTCTGAGTATCACCTCTGGGATGAAGGGCTGGAGGGAGGAAGAGATTGTTGAGGCAGGGCATGAACACAGGAAGCCACTATCATCTACTTCTTGACCTTTGCTACTCTCACTCCTGACGTTCTTTCCAGGCTAGTGAAAGGAAGTTTGAACTGAAAGGAAGTTCATGGCCCCAGCTCTATCAAAGTTTTATAAAGTATATAAAAAAAGTCACATTTCTTTGTTTCTGGATAAGAACATTCAGTATAACTAACAATTGTGAACAACAGCACCGCGTGCAGTCCTGAGAGGACACACAGCCAAGTCATGAGATCCAGCTTCCTTGACGGGATCACACGAAGTTTGGATTTGATATCCCGGGGTTGAAAGCCCAAGGTCAGCAATGGGGTGGGTCCCAGAAAGCAGTCATACTACATTCGGACTGCTACAGCATCATTAAAAAAAAAAAAAAACAAAGGTCCAGGGTTGATGGCTGCCCCCCCCGATTCTGTTCCCCACCCGCATTCTGCGCTTTCTCGCCACCTACAAGTGGATTGTTAGAAAGCTAGAGATAGCCTGGTGGCCTGCTAGCCGCCGAAAAACTAGCCATCTTCCTGCCCTTTCTATTCCCTCGCTGGAGGAGAGTCTGTCATTTTCCTAATAACTGTTTTCTTTTACTCTTCCAGCAAAGGAGCATTTATATTTTATGAGGGGCAGAAGTTCAGTCCCCACTGCTAGTTATTACTCTCTTGTGGCCTGGCAGAGAGACTTCCCCAGCCTTCCTATTTTGTGGGCATCCACTGCTAGTCACCAAGCTCTTCAGAAATGACTCCACATCCTCCCTAAAGCCTGAGAAATTTTACAGTGATGTTTTCCAAACCACTCTGAAGTTACTAACTGGAAGTCTGTCAACTCTCTTCCTTCTCCTCCTTAGGAATCCGATCATGGGACACAAACTTGATTGAGTGCAACTTGGACCAAGAACTCAAACTTTTTGTCTCTCGACACTCTGCAAGATTCTCTCCTGAAGTCCCAGGTGAGGCCTCTGTTCAGTATTAGCCTAGAATTTAAAAGAGCAAGGGTCCTTGGCCGAAAATCTTTGCCTGGGGCTAAAGGATTGTTTGTGATTGCTTTTCATCAAGGAGTCAGCTGCAGCCACAGTTTAAGAAAGTCAGCTCTAAATTATTGCTCTGTAGCTTATCCATTTTGTAGATTCTTACTGAGAAGTTCTGAAGTTCTAGGGTAATATTTATATATGTGTTACCATCTCATTGTACTCTAAGTTCAAGGGATTATAAACTATTTACATGTTAACATTGCTCGGATGAAGTTAGAAATACAAATTGGGATTCCCTAGAATTCTAAGGATCCTAGAATTCTAGGATTCCCTAGAATCCCACAATTCCTTTCTCCAAGGTGTAAGGAGACATCTATGGCACTTCAAAGTGAAATGTGCTTGATTATTTTATCATTGCTTTATCACCCAACTTTGCATTACCACTTATCTTTCTCAGTGTGTGTGAAAGAGTCTGATATTTGTGGCTGCTGTTAAAATAGCCTTTCTTTCAGAAATGAGAGAGAATTGTAAGAATAATTAAAGGTAAGGACGCAAACATTTGTTCTATATGAAGGTTTTCCTGCTGAGCAGAGCCTCCCTGGCGCTAACTGTTTGTGTTGAGCTATCCCCCACCCCATGAGCCGTGACCTATGTTCTACCAGCTGATCACACTTGGGGATTACAAGACAGTTCCTGGCCCATAAACCTCCCAAAGCCAGATGTGTTTCTTAAAAGCTTTGTCACTGGAACCATGCTGCATTATATTTCATGCGTATCTGCAAAACAGAATAAACTCTTCCATCTATATGCTTTTGTTCTGATTACTAATTTTATTGGCATTGTTATAACATCAGGAATGAGGTTCAGCCTTTTGGATGATGAGCTCATATTCCATTATCCTGTATATTTTGAGATTTGAGACTACTTTCATGGAACGTCAGTGCCTTTGTGAATCATACTTGGCTGTAGTAATATGCCCATGAGGTTGTCCCAGTTCTCCCTTTTGAATTGGATATTAGAATAAAATCCCATACATTTTAGTTATCCAAATGAATTGTAGTTGTTGAGCATGGAACTGAGTGAATATGTGAAGAAAAGCTTTGTAAAAAAAATTCTTCAAACTTAAAATCAACCTTGCTACAAAGGCTTGTGAAAAATTAGCTCTTAAGTAACTTTGCACTGAGAGAGAGAAAGAAAAAGAGAGAGAACAAGCAGTATAAGGTTCTTTTGTTATTGTGTTATAATTTTATGTCTTGCAAAATCTCCCTAACTTTTTAAAACATCTCACAAAAAAGAATAAGGAAAGTGATCTTTGCTAACAAGCGTGCTCATTTGCACATGTAAGAGTCAAGTTTTACCCTTTTCTGTAAGTTGTTCTGGTTCTGGCTTTCTTACTATGACCATTTGCTAAACTACCACATTATTCTTTTTTGTAAACAAGCCATGCATTTCTCCTTGTGTTCACTCATACTTGCATTGACCTTAGGGAATCACAACTATGTACTGCAAAGCGAACAGTTATAAGAATTCCTGAAGAATTAACCATTTTTGGACCAAAGACCTAGCTAGTAGTATTATTGTGGACTAGCAAGATCAAGTCCCCCAAATCTCACTTTGGCCTGGTGTTCTCAGTCACCGACCTAGTTGTATGAGTGCCGTCCTTGGAGAATGGAGAAAGGCCTGATGTTAGGACTCTCCTCTCAAGCTGTGCAGGCCCAGCCTCCCTCTGGAGCCATTCTAGTGATGGTCCTGTATGGACAGCGTGAAGAAGGCTCCACACCAAGATTGTACTGCAGGGTGAATATTCCTGATCCCAAATGCTTGGGACTGGAAGGGCTTCAGAGTTTGGAGTTTGGGCACTTTGCAATATTTGCATGGGTTTTACCAATTGAGCATCCCTAATCTAAAAATCCAATCTAACGTCTCCAAAATCCTTGGGTCCTCAACATGTGATTCAGTTTCGGGTAAGTGTCCTTTAGAAAGAGGAGGTGTTAGAGGACCGGAACACAGAACTATTCATGGATAATTGTGTACAGACATCTCGGGATGATCTTTGGATTTGGCCCAAGGAAAGCTACAGGTTTTCCTGAACAAACTGGAGAACTTTGAATCCTGTTTCTAAGTGGGTCCAAGTCTAGTGGTCTCTTCCCTACTTACTTTAGATTCTGTACAAGTGAAGTCGTGTACCTGAGTTTCACAGAATAGACACATACTTCCATTTAGTCAGCTTCAGCTATTTAAGTGACAGCTACAGTGTGCCAGGCACTACGGGATATGGGGTGGATGAGATCAAAGTGATGAACACAATAAAATCATTATTACCTTTATCGTGCTTATATCCCTTATGTGAGAAATCGCATACAAATTAGCACGAAGTCCAACATCCTGCATCCAATCCAGAATCCAGGCTTAGACCAGCCTTTTGTGGGGAGGGGAGGCATGTTGCAGGCTGGCAGAGTTACAGTAAAATATTCTCTGCCTTCTCTGCCACAGTAGATTAGGACTCAGGTTGTTGTCATGTCTGTTTTCTATTCATGTGAGTTATTACACTTCTTGTTACTTTTAGGAATCAGTTTCTTAGTGAAAGACTGGCGAGGGCCTCAGATTGCAGCCAGTCGACTGTGCTGATGGCCCTGCTAGCTTTGTTCCCTTGTACTAGTTTGTCCCTTGTACTGTGGTTTGAGATGCAGCGAGGCTGTTTCTCAGGATTTCGGGTCTCATTCCAGAGCATTCAGAACCCTGCCCAACTCTGGCAGTCTGTGATTCTGGGGATTGTCAGTCATCTCCACTCACCTGATGGTCTTCAATCTGTGGTGGTGCTGATTTGTCTGAAGGTCACTCAGCAAGCACCGATTATGTGCCTGCTGTGAGGCCCTGCTGGGCAGCATTGTCCCTGAGAGAAAAGGTAGGCCTCTCCTAAGAGCCCAGGCCAGTCTTTCCCTCAAGTGACAGTTCAGCTGCTGAGTGTGTTAGAAATAGAGCATCCGTCTTACATTTCTTTACGTTCACAAATTCAAATATTGCCAGCGAGTTTTTATTTACATATGATAGCCTATGTTTTTTGTACCTTAATCATAATGGATGAGAGTTATTTTTCTGAGTCTCCCTGCAAGTGTAAGACTTCTGTGACTATCGCTTCTTTCCTAAATTGAACTTTAGACCTAGCTATGTGTAGAAATGGACGAGGACATCTCCTGGGTATTATAGGGAGTGTCTACCATAAATGAAAACCATTTCTAGGACAAAGGACACTGTCTCAGTCACTTTCTCATTGCTGGGACAAAATACCTGACCCCTGCAACTTACAGGAAAAGAGGTTTATTTTTGGCTCATGTTTCAGTCCATAGTTGGCTCGCTCCATGGCAGGATGACATGGCGGAGAACTGCTCAGGGCATGGTGGACAGGAAGCCGAGAGAATGAAGGCAGGAGCTAGGAAGGGAGATACTCCTTCCTGTCATACCCACAGTGACCTGGTTCTTCTGACCAGGCCTCACCTCCTAATAGCACAGTTAGCTTAGGTACGCCGGTGATTCAATCACCTTCAAAAGCCCCACCTTTGAGGACATGAGGCTTTCAGGAGACATCCAGATGTAAACCATAACAGACACCAAACTGAAAATCCACTTCAGTTGTTCTCCCTCTTTTTTCCGCTTTCATCTACTCACTAAAAGAACTAAATTGCTTTGATAACTAAATTCCACACCAACAGTATAGCATGACTAAGAAGAGTGCAGATTCTGGAGCCAAACTCCCCAGTGTGATCTGCAGGGGGTTTGCTAGATGATTTTGGATGGTACCTTAGCCATTCTCTTCCTCTGTTTTCTTGTCTACAGATGGGCATGGTCACTTCTACCTCAGTTTTCCATAGTATGGAATGAACTAATGTGTGTAAAATTCTTAAAAGCTTTTATCTCCTGTCAAACAATAAACATCAGCTAATATTATTCATTTGACTTGCAAGTCTGATAATTATTATTATCTATGGGAAATACTGGGTTTTGATATTTGTGATATTTCTTGTGACAATTGTTTTATTTGTACTAAAGATGTTTCTCAGAGGAACTGTTACCTTTGGATGACATCAAGCTGCTGGCTATGTAGCGGGCAGCAACATTCTGTGACTAGGCTGAGTGAGCTCCTAGGGCCTGAGAGCAAAGAGGAGATGCTGCGTTAGAGCTGGCAAAGCAGGACCAGAGCAGGTTGTAGGGTATTTGCAAAACGGTCCCATGGGTGTGCATGTGGACTACTGCTTGCTTACCATGTGGCCTGCCCTTGAGCAACTTTTGCTCTACTCCCCTGCCCAGATTTCTCTTCTACTCTCTCCAATCAACAAGTGGATACAGCTTTATCAGTTTTAAGAAATGGAGATTTCCTGAGGCTTATTTTTTCAGTTAGCTGAATAAATAAAAGATCTTGGCATATCTACACTTTGTCATTAGTTTTATAACTTGTAGATAACATTCTCAAAAATCTTGATACAATATGATTGATTTTGTAATGTGGAGATTTGGTGGTTTTGTTTAAAAACCCATGCCTTTTCTATGGAAGATAAACAAACCACAGCTGAACATCTTTAGATTTGTGCAGAGTGACTGCTAAAAATATCCCCCCCCATTGCTTTTTGATGGAGAATTAAAATCAGCCATTTGAATTTCAGTCATGCACATCCTCTCCTCCCTTTGACATTAATGACGCAACATTTTACAACTAATATTTGTCTGTTAGAGTGGTAAGAAAATGCTCTTAGAAAGGGGTCTTTGAATGTTTTGAGTCATCTTTCTGTCTAGACTTGTATATTTAGTCTGTCATTGTGTAGAATCGTGGCTTGTCTGTGCCTAGAATATATCAACTGCTCTGTGACACGGGAGCAGTGGCTGTTGTTTCATTCCTGCTCCCAGCCTTTAAAGCATAAAGCACAAATATATGTCCCCACTACATGCAAGAAGCTAACAACACCCAGGGAACCTGTGATTTCAGA